CTTCCCACATCATGGAGTGGGAAAGGGACAAAACTTGACGAATTTGCAAGCACGCACACACACACATTGCTGGAACTCACGTGATCAAACGAAAACAAAAAGAAAACGAGACAACGAAACATTTTTGATATTGCACATGAAAAAAAGAATTTACGCAAATAAAATTGTTTATCTATGTACATATACATATGTATGTATATCACATATTATTTATATAAACATATGTACATATGTATGTCACAAAATGCTGCACTTTTCCTTTCTAAATCTGAATTTTTTTGCCATTCTGACTCTTTCTGCGCCCCCGCCCCTAGGCAAACACATTTTCTTGCAATAGGCACACGGTTTTTTTCATATTTATATTTAATTGCTGCATCACAACACGGAACTTCACTTCCCACACCTGCGCGGCAGTTTAGTCGATGGATTTTTCACCATTTTCCGAGTTTTTCACGGATTGAAACGCGGAGCTGACTTAGGAACGCACGCTTTGGCCGAGAAAAAATTTGAGTGAGAGCGGCGCAAATGCATTCATTCTTTGATCTCCTGCTTCTCTTCCTATTCGCTCTCTCTCCCACGCTCTCTCGGGCGCTCGCGCCTGAATAGAGGGCGCGTTGCGAGAGGGGACTCTCGGACCACCTTGTATAATTTCATCATGCTCCTTGTCCTCTTCCTATGCTACTGCCAAGAGAGATCGAAAGAGTGTGGGAGTGAGATGGATAGATTGGTGAGAGAGTTACAGTGCGCATGCAGAAATTACTTTATTTAATTCAATTAATTGATCTCTCTGTGTAGTAGCAGAGGTAGTAGAGATAAGCATAGGCAAAAGTAGCTGAAGAGAGCGTGGGAGGGAGGGAAATTAGGAAGCCACAATGATGAAATCAATTTGCAGTGGCCGTCCACACGATTACTCATTCGGAGTATCGAGTATAAATGTGGTGTCGTGGCCGTAGCTGCGACTCACAGCGTTCCCCCTCGTTTTGTAGAGTAAATGGATGGATGGGGAGCCGGGTGGACAGGGACCAGAGAGCAGAGAACAGGCAGCAGGATAATAAAACAGTGCGTTCTGGGTGCGCTATTTGCATTTGGCTCATAACTCTTTTGATTGCAAATAAACCCACGACAGGCTCTTTATTATTGTTGTCGCAGTTGCCTTCTGACTCGTAAAATACCAAACACAAGTCACACCCACGCCAGGAATCCCAATTGAGGCTAAACAAAAAGGTGAAAAAACCAAAAAAAAAAAACAACACAAAAAAATAATAATAAAGAAACTGCCAGAGAGAGTCCGCCACACAGTCCGCCCGTCCGGGGCATCCTTCAAACGCTCGAGCAGAACACAAGAGGCAAATGCAAATGCAAATGAAGTTTGGTTCGTTTTTTATATTGTTCGGTAGGTTCCAGGCCGGGGCCCAACAGAGCACCAACAACTGTTTTTCGAATACTGTCAACCCGGCAGACACTTAATGGGCTTTTTCTCTCTTTTTGTGTGTGTGTGTGTGTGTGTGTGTGTGTTCATTCATCTGGGTTCCAGCCACAGCCCCAACCCCTGGAGTGGAGCTCCGGTTCCTGCTCCTGGGATTGGCACTGCAGATTGATGGCAATGCAGGGAGGCGCTGGATTCCGAGTCGGAGTCGGAGTCGGGTCTGGTTCTCATTCTCATTCTCGTTCTGGCAACCTGGGATGGAACGGCAATGGCCCTGTCATGGCTGAGCATGCGTAATGAAGCTTAAGTAGAACTGGTTATAAACCACACGAGGCACGGTCGAGGTGTTGCCTTTGATGGGATGGGAATTAGTCGGAAAGAAGTGGAAGAACGATGGGTAGGTGGATGAGGAGTTCTGGAGAAGCTGACAGAACGGTAAGACTTTGATTCAGCTAAGCAAAACGATCGGTGGATTTTATTGCAACAAGATAGGAAAAGAGAGGTAAAATTCATCGTTCGGGAAATATTCAATTAGAATTACGAAAATAACATGTGAAATTAGTAGGATATCAACTTTTAGCATTTGGAATAAAAGAAGTACTTTAATAATTAATGTTATGGAATGTAACAAATGGAATCAAGTGACATTACAAGGGTAATATTATTTATAGAACTATCTAAAGACGGAAAATATCACTAATATAATAGATCAAACCGAAATTTATAACTTAATGAACCTTTAGGAAGATTTCGACTTGAACAATTTATAGGACAAATAGAAATGGAAACAGAATAGAACAACAACTGAAAATGCAATTAAAATATATGCAGGAAGAACAATAAATGATTCATATGAACAGGAAATCGAAACCAATCAAATACTTGAATACTTGAGCGTTCAGTTTCTTGGAATAACAGATAAACATCATTCCCCACCCACGAACCCTTTCACGCATTCTGAGGATTCAAGCAACCAAAGAGAAATGTGTGCATATCGGAGCTCGGGAATGGCTCGAGCCATTAACTGCTTTGGCATGCAGGACATGACTTGGCATAACCTCCAATTTTCGGAGTCCCCGAACCTCTTCCCAGGACGGCTCCTCAGAAGCCTTCCATTTCGCTGGCCATTTCACTTAACGCTTTGGTGGCTAAGGGAATGTGAATGGCGATGTATCCTTGCCGGCGCTGCTTGCTGCTTGCTCCTGAATTGCTGGTGATTCAACTCCTCCTGGTGTCATTTTTCTTACATGCACACTTCATTTATTACACCCTGAAGGCAGGTTCTCCCCTGGCTACTCTATCCTTTGCCTCTAGCCCCCTCCCCATCCGCTTTCACAGCCCCTTCCCCAGTTGTCGCATTATGTATCACTTATATGCATGTCGTTAGTTTTCATGTCATTCGGGGGCGGAGTGGGAGGTATCTGGGAGGGGGAGTGTGCTGGGGAGTGCACAGAGAATCCTTTTGTTGAAAATCGATATGTGGCAATGCAAATTGTAAAAGTTTTTCCCTACTCCACTGGCTGCTCTCTGCGGATGCTGCTGATGCTGCTGGTGGTTCCTCTGTTGCTTTTTGAGCTGTAAGTGATAGCCTTTCAGGTGCTCTCAGGTGTGGCACACGTTGCTGTTGCAGTTTGTTGCTGCTGCTGCTGCCGCTGCCGCTGCGGCTTTTGTGTGTGTGGAAAGCGTGTTAAAAATCTGTTAAATAAATCAAAATTTCTGCGTATAACAAGCCGAACACACACACCCACACACACCAGCACAGGCATAGCCACTGCCATGAATAGCTGCCACACACTGAAACACATTCATAAAAAGCTGCCGCATGCCACACACACTCATGAATAGCTGCCGCATGAATACCTGCCTCTGCAGCCTGCCAGCATAAATCAAAATGCATAAATTTAATTTAATTTTTGTTCACTTGCCGCAAAAACAAAGCCAAACATCGGATAAAATAAAGCTGGCAACAAGAAGCTCTTGTTGCATACTCCAAGGGGCAGACAGTGGGCGGGGGGTGGGATTTGTGAGGCATACAATCTGCTTATTGCAAAGTGCATTTTCCACACGATTTTCCCCTCATCAAATTAGGGCAAAACAAAATAAGATTTCATCACACAAGTCGATACAATACGAGGCTTTGGATATTTCACAAGAAATTGTAATTCAAGTTTTTGCTTTGTTGTGAATACAACATTATGAGACATCTCATGATCAGAATTAAAATATTAAAATACGAAAGGGTGGCACAAGAAGAGGCAAAAAGAATAGATGGGCGGGACAGCTTCCGGTCTAGATACGAGGGACTTTCGAGAAGCAAATCCAAGCAAGACCATTTGATGAATCAGTCTTCTGGCGAACGAGAATTTGTCAGATAAGCCAACGAATGTCTATCGTATGTACAATGTACATATGTATATCTAAAATTAGTATCGTATCTTTTATAATTATTTCTTTGGCTGTGGGACTTACTGACAAAACAACAAACAGTAAAAACAGGGATCGTCGCTTCTGGTAAAAACTTCATATGTTAGGAATTAGAATTCACCAGAAGCCTCTTAGGCACAGAACCCAGTTTAAAGCACAACTCGAACGAGAGGCACTGCTGCATGTCACGTGACACGTGCAATCAAACAGGTCGCATAAATAAGGAAACGGAACAAGAAAGGACCACTTAACTAAGAAAACTATGACTAATTTCTGCATGTAGCCGCACTCTTAGTAAAGATCCTATCATCGACTGTATTTCAAACTCTTTATTTTACTAAAACTCGATCTATCTAATGATTTCTGAAACATCGAAAGGCCTTAAATGGCCCGAACACGAGAGTGTATTCAGGAACAAGATCTAAGTTTACAAAAATTTACAATTTACACGTGAATTGAGTCTTCAAACGTTCTGTTAGTAAAGTATATGTAAAGTTTGAATTAAAAAACCAAATACCTTTTATTTTCCACGATTGAGTGTTTTCCGCGAAGAAATATCTCGCTTTTTGCGAAAAAATTACATCCCTTAGCTCCTCGAGGACCTTTAGTCAGCTCCAATTAAAGTAAAGTTTGACTGCACTCAAACACGATGAAAGTTTATTCAACCCTTGGGCATAGCCCCCGAAAAGATGTTAATAAAAAATTAAATTTCAAATATTTCAGTAGGGTGTCGTCGTGGGACCCACCAGAATTTTACAATCCAATTTATTAGCTGCTCGCGCTGTAATTTATTTGCAGGGCCATTTTTGTGTAGTCACACAATTTCCACAAAATGGTAAATGTTTCATGGGGAGTAAAACCATATGGCAATAGTGCAATAATAATGAAAGCCTCAACACACAGAATGGGAAATGGAGTTGCGTGGTGGCCACCAAAAAAACACAAAAAACAATAAATAAAACACTAACCATAACAGAAATACATCCATATGAAAGAAATACACACCAGCATATGGACATATAGACGTCCTATGGAATGGGTGTGTGGCAAAAGGGAAAGCGTGGCGCGTGCAACATGCAGTATGCTGGATTTTTGCATTTCCATATCAATTTTCAATGGTTTTTTCTTGGTCTCTTTTTTGCTGTTGTAGGACTATCCATCCGATCAGGCTCCGGCGCCGGGCTTTTTGACGGCAGAGAAGGAGAAGGAATTGGGAACACCCAGTAGGGTGCAGGCCTCCCGACAGGCCTACGAGGCCTACGAGAAGCAGGAGATAAAGCAGAGTGAGTACATCCATGGGGTTTATTGAGGCCATTAAATGCCGTCTCACATAAGGTCGAACGATGTCTCTATAGCACCCTACCCCTTTCCCTTGCCCTATCCCTATCCCGCCCCGTCCCATCCCTTTCTGTTTGTGGTAATTGTGCTGCAAATAGATGTATGTAAAAGGCGCCCAACCGACCGCCGCCCGCCTATGATGATCACGTTCTGGCCATAAAAAAAGTGCTAAGCAAATGTTTTTAGCGAAAAAAGAAAGAAAGAAAGAACGAAAGGGGGGAAAAGACACACAGACAATACGAAATGGCACAGAACAGAATGAAATTGTATGGTGTTTGATGTGCAAAACCGACCAGACTCAGACTCAGACTCAGACTCAGAGATAGAGATACTATGTATGTACAGATAGGACCCAGACCGACCCGACCCGACCCGACCCGCCACAATCCCAGTCGTTATTTATGGCAATGGAAATGAAAATGACTGTTTTATCCTTTGGCACGTGACTCTCTGCAGTTGATGATGGAAAACCAGAACTACGCCAAACGAGAGAGAAGGTCAAACGGCAGCCTTGTTCGGGCCATACGCACTTTGCTTTCTAAACGCCCGACTGAAACTCGGAACCGAACAAATGAGTGAAAATTCCACTTTAAGAAGGAATAAAAAAAAGCAAATGCATGGCAGGCCGAACGTTGTAATACCCTTTAACATAGGATTCATACGATTAGTAGCCCTATTTTAGCAGGAAGTCGTGAAGTGTGGATTATCTTTAGATGTGGAGAGAGAGCTCTCCCTATCTAGGGAGGAAAACAGAAGACTCTAGTCAAGAATTGCTCCAGATAGTAGCTCTATTAATCATTTTATTCTATGGCTAACATTCCCCCAAAAGAGACTATATTTCTGTCAGAAATGGAACCTCTATATCCCCCTTGAGGTTTTGATAGTGACGAATATTTGTGTACCCTCTTTAAGGGTATAGAAATACCCCATGGGGTATTTTCTCACCCTCCATCTCTCCTACTAGCCCCATGATGCATCTGCACTTTCGTTGCAATTAAAAGGAGAGTTGCCTTGTTAACCACACTCACTCCTCACACGCTTCCTCCACCTCCCCACCTCCCCACTTCCCCACTTCAGGTCTCAGCTTCTCCCTCTCTTCTGTTGATTACAGCTACTGCTGCTGCGAATGCTTTTGGGGAATTCAAGTCTCGCATAGATCTTACCAATTACTTCATTACAAGCTTAATGCCGCTAGGCTTGCCAGCAGCCACTACTCGTGCAGCAACAGCAACAGCAACGGCAACAACTTCAACAGCAACAACCACAATTACCGCAGCCGCAGAGCCTTAGACCGAGACAATGACAATGAAATGTGAGCTCGGGCTGGGGCTCCAGCTCCAGCTCCAGCTCCAGCTCTGTCTCAATATCTTTTTATCTCTTACCACTCCTCCGACTCCTCCTCGGTGGCTGCATCTTTCTCTCTGGCTCATTTACCATTTGCATTCGAGTGGAAAATTGTCGCCGTTTAATGGGCGCGAAAATTGTGTGTTTTGGAAAACCGTTAAGAGCATGTGGACAGCAGAAGCAGACGCAGAAGCAGCAGGAGGAGTAGCTGGCCTCCAATGTCACGCCAATGGAAAGTGTGTCACTAAGCCTGGGAAATTGTCAATGAATGCGGCGGCGGCTACGGCTATCGGATATTGTGAATGCTGTCGGAGAGGCTCCATTTCCAACTGCATAATGATGCAATTTTCTTATCACATTGCTCGTCGGCTGTTTGCATTAGCAGGAAAATAAGCTGACAGTTGGAGGCTTCCTCAGATTGGCTTCCTTGAGGTGTGTGTTTATCCCCCGTTATCGACTGTTTGCACATCGCTTTGGCGCACAGAGGCGCCCGCAGAAGGGAGCCTTCGCTAAAAGAGATTCAGTTATTTTCCCAAGGGAATACCCCTTACTTCGATTTATTCGTCCCGCGTCCCTAATTTCGACTCGATTGGCCCGAACGTCGGAATTTGCGTTTGCTGTCGGGGAGTGGTATTTATTTTTCAACAGAAGCGCAAAGGAAAACATTGTTGAAGTAAGTCAAGTGACTTGATCAAAGAACGAGCTATATCTTTATGAGATGAATGGCTCCTACGGAGAGTACTTTGGATTGGCTCAAATTAGATCACTCTCCCAACAAATTGTGGCGGAATCGGGTACTCAAGTAGTACTGAAAAGTAATTTTGAATCTTATTGGACACCTCTTTAAACATCATTTGATTTTTGAATTGTGCAGCTGTCACGATTTTCGATGCAGATTTCTGCACTCGAGACCCAAATGCTTTTCTCACATGGAATGGCAGATATTCCCTGAAGCTCTGAAACTATTAAAGCGTAAAATATATTTGTAGATTCTACATAATAGACCCCCTCAACAATTTTCAAATCTTATTTTTGCCTATCCCCCCCGTAAAGTACATTAATTCTTTCTCCTTCCCTTTCCCCACTCGAATCGTTTAGCTCTTCTATATTCATACATTCTCGTATTTGTGCGAAAAGTTCTGTTCTCCCCGGTCTGTTCCATTGGTAAAGTTTTTCCCTTGATTAAATGATGTGTAACATTTGGCAGAGCACTCAAAATGACTTTATTGGCCAGGCTCGACTGCCTCAGCTGTTGGCCATGGTAAACTATGGTAATTTCCCAGAGAACCACAATGCCCCTCTGCGCTCTCCTCGAGGAGGGGCCTGATGCCAGGGTCGCCCCACATTTTCATGGGCAATGCCATTCCAAGTTCAAAGGCAAGCCAGTCCAGCAGACCAGTCCAACCAGAACTGGGGAAAACTCTGCAGCAGCAGCAGCAGCATCATCAGCGTTGCAACGTTCCCTCCCAACCCTTCCGCCTTCTGCCTCACCTCTCTTGTTTCAGTCCTTGGAGCTTGTTGAGATAGTGCCCCTTGAATTATTCATGTGGCTGTTGTGGATGCCGCCGACGCCGACCCAGCCATTCAGTCTGAGGCATCCAGCCATCGCAGCGATGCCCCTTCCCTTGCTCCGGAGACTCCCCCCCTCCCCACTCTCTCACCTACTAAAACTAGCCCCAATCCACCTCTTGCGACCCCCCTCAGAGCACTCGTTAAGTTGATGATTCAATCATGAAGCGTTTATGAAAATTACATATGGATGCAGCTGATTCTGTGTCTGGGTTCTGGGTTCTGGGCTCCCCCTCACCCACCCAAGGAGCCGAAATGCTTTGAAATTTCTTCTCCAGTAGGTGATTCGAGTGGGAACTGGGATTAGCTGCACACTAGGTGGTCCGCTTTGACTGTAGACTCCTCCGGGCTCCCCTGCCCACGGCTCTCTGCTCTGATTTGCTTCTGTAACTTTATGGCTCTAATAGGAGCTAGACATCGAGGAAAACCGAAGGTTTGCATACCCTGGAAGATCGTCTTTAGACGGGGGAGACGGGGGGCTTGCCCCCTAGCATGATATTCCATTCCGATTTTGAATATGAGAAAAGTTTTAGAAATAATTTATGTAGAAACAGATACCGTCTGTTCCTTAGCGCCTCTTCTGCTGATGCACATTCAATATACCTTCCTAAAGGGTATGCAAAGGAATTCCGCTTGCAGATTTGTTCAGAGAATTTTTATAGCACGACACATAAAAAAAGGAGAGGAAAACACACGCAACGGTAAACTTAAGCAAGGCAAAGACCATAAAGGTGCTCACTGCTCCAGTCGATCAATAAAGCGAAGTCAAATCGCTAAAATGATTTTAATCTTGGAGCCAAAAAGCCAATGGATGGGCGATCAAAAGCGCCTGTGAAATGCCCGCGGAACGCCTGCAAACGGCATTGAAAAATGCAGTTTAGTGAACCGCTAAAAAGACCAGAACCCTAATGGGTTATTAAATAATTAACTGGATAACAGGTTATATCAGTGACATACATACATAGACGGACGTACAGACGAGTATTTCCTGAACTGGTAGATGTTCGACCTATATTCAAGGAAAGTTTTTAATCGGATATTTGAGGGATGATCAATGATTGTCACATAAACTTAACAATTATTCCACTTTCGTTTTCAAATATGAAGGACTTTAATTAGCTCTATAAATTTCAAGGAAAGTTTTTAATCGGATATTTGAGGGATGATCAATGATTGTCACATAAACTTAACACTTATTCCACTTTCGTTTTTAAATATGAAAGACTTTAGTTAGCTCTATAAATTTCCCATAAGCGAGCCGCTCGCATTTGTTACCAGCGACTCAAACAGAGACCATCTCAAAAGTGAGATTTTAAACGTCAATATTCTGGATCCAATGGAACTATGGTCTAAGTTCCATCAAAGTTACAATCTAATCAAATCATGACCTTTGTGTTAATATTCTCAAATCGAATCCGTATTCGTGTGTCATTCTTCAAAGCACTTTCCAACTTTTACCTTTTCAGGGACAATCATCCTATTGGCCAGAGCCCACAACAACCGACTGATCAAAGAAGCCGAATGCAAAGTGCCCAAGGCCCAAGTCATATATATGATCGGAGAGACAAATATACAGTATTATCCTCGGGCCACGATCCTGCATCGGTGCGACAGCTCCACTGGTTGCTGTCGGGATGGGGAGATCTGTTCCGTGAAGAAAAACGTCACGGTGGAGCTGCCATTCGTACTGAACAACCGCGGCAAGATGATCCCGCTGGTGAATCACACCGAATGCGAGTGTGTGCAGAACATGAGTCGTCGGAAGCGCAGCACGCAGTGCCAGTGTCCCAAGCACTTCAAGGACTTCAGCTGGCGAGGAAATGTGGTGGGGGCGGTGATGCTCCACTGCCGCTGCGATTGCCATCTCAACGATGCGGCGTGCCAGAGGTTAAAGAACGGCGAGGAAGGATTCGCCATGAATGACCGAATGTGAGTTTCCAAGATCTCGCTCTCTCTCTTTCCGTCTCTCAATCGCTCTTTTCCACAGTCGCATCCAGCACCGGGAAAGCAGTCAACCGATCTGCAACTACGGCCTCTATGATGTGAAAAACGGACGCTGTCCGCGTCCGGGCTCGATGCATCAGCTGCAGACGAAGCTGCAGTGGGGCAAGGGCTAAGGCTCTCGCCTGGCCCGGCCTCCAGCGAGTGGGGCAAATGCCGCCGACGCCGCCGAACGAAAGCAATCCAGAACTGTGTATACACTAAATATTACTTGTACGATTAATGCATGTTTACTATCTATAAAACTATGCGATGCAGTGTCCGACTGCATCTGATACACCGAGAAGGAAAGATATCCAAGTTCCGTTCAGAAGTATTGCAACTAACATTCAAGTGTACTTAAGTTACCTTCGATTAAGTTCATATCTTAAGCTATATACCGCGTGTATCTGTATTCAATTAAACGATACTTCTAGTCACAGAAAGCCTGCTGTTTATCCTCCTCAAGACTGCTATCAGCAGCACCAGTCCGCCATAGACAATAGCATAGACATCGAGTGAGTAGTACTGCATAAAGTCCAGCTGCCGGGCGGGACTGTACAAGTGCTTGGCCCCCCTGTGACGTATGACATACTCCAGCCAAAAGGTTGCCACGTCGCTGGCATTCATCGGACGATCGCGGTAGAGATGGGAAGCTTTCGATATGCTCTTGGAGTAACGCGAGTGGCTGAGAGCACTGCCCATCGCCTTTGAGAGCTCTGCATGGCGGAGATTCTGCGTAGACAAAGTCATACCCCAGCCTTTGGCTCCCATCTTGAGAAGGTTGGCGCGCTGATCTCCCAGCAGTGGCAGCCCCACCATGGGCACTCCGTAATACAAAGCTTCGGTGAGGCTGCCCTTGCCTCCGTGGGTGATGAAGAGGCATGCCTGCTGCTGACCCAGCAACTGCCGCTGGGGCCACCATTTGGCCAACTTCAGATGAGAATGATGCGACATAATTTCACTGGCATTGGGTCCATCGTAGGTCCAATAGATATCGTAGTCGGGAAACTGAGCGAACGCCTGTGTAAAGGTCTGAACAAAATGGTCAGGAGATCTTTTCCAAGTGAAGCGGGTGCCCAGACTGAAGACTATGAGCGAGCGATTCCCCGATACCTCTAGGAAAGTCTCATTTAACTTCTGCTCTAAGAGTATCCCACCTATGTCCACCATGCTCGGCAATAGGGGAGCAATGGGGCCCTCGCTGATCATGTGATGATTGTTCAGAGCCAGGGCGACAGAACGACGCATCGTCTCGAATGGTGGATAGTGGGGTTCGGGAAAATGTGAACTGAAAGGAGATATTATGGTCAGGGGCTGTAGAATTGGAAAAACATTACTCCCACCTGTAAATCCTTCGCAGAACTCTCCGAGCCACCGCTTCCATCAACTTTTCCCACGCGCCAAAGAGCCAGGCAGAGATTCCACTACGCTGGCGACTGTCATATGGTTGGGGGACGTACCAGCGCTCCTCGGGATTCCCCATGAGACTGTTGACAAATCCAATCGGCTGTTGGGTGGAGATGATCGCCGCTGGACAGTTGAAGTGGGCAGCCACGCCCAACAGATGATCGTTGAAATGGTAGCCCAAAAGTAACAGATCGAAGTGGGGTTTGGGTGACAGCCTCATGAAATCTTTCCAGGCAGGCTGGTCGAGCAGATCCCCCGACTGCTCCAAGCGGTTGAACATCCGTAGCAAGCGCAGCAGCCAATCCGTTGCGGATCCAAGATGATCTTCATCCGCCGGCTGTTGCCACGGCACCAGTATGTGAGTGACATTGCCCTCCAATTCCACCTCCTCCAACGGGAGCGTGGTGACCAAAGTCACCTGATGACCCCGTTGCAGCAAAGCACGAGTCACGGCCATGTGCACCAGCAGCTGGGAGCGATGCAAGTTGACAAAGAGGCCCAGTATATGATGGGACTCCACCCCTACCGCGCTGCAGATGGCTAGCATCCACAGCAGTATATGGCTGATCGGCGGTCGGTTCATGACTGAGGCCGGAGAATGCCCAACATGCCCATCAACAAGTAATTACGAGTATCTCTGCCCCCGCATACTCCCAATCAATCAAATTGATAAAAAATTGGCCCAAAACAATTTGGTTACTCAATACAATCGCCTTCAAACTGTGACGTCGCGGCTGGGTAAGAAATACGATACACAAAAGTAATGGCAAAATTAATAGATCAGTCGAATAGTTAAATAAAAATAAAATATTATCATGAGATAAAAACGATTTATACCTTAGACCTGACGAAAGATCGATCGACAAATGAAGAGAAATCAATGAAGCAAAAAGACATACCAACAGACAGTTTTATGGATCGATTTGTATATGGATTGATGGTTTCGAGACTCTAGCTCTTGTAGCTCTTGTAACCTTCTCACTATCGTGGACTCACTTCTCACACATATCTCACGTATATCTTAAAATTATTTTGCAAAACTTTACGGACACTAAGCATTTACAGCATTAATAACGTGCACCGCAAACGACATCCACGACGGGCGTTGGACACCACAGCTAATTGCCCGAAACCGCACATCAACGCAATGCTCAATCAGCAACAAATGTAATTACATTCGGTTTGAAGCTTATTTGCGGTTTTTTACTTGAACAGCATTTACATTTTAAAACTTAAAGTTCCCTAATTTAAATAGCAAGCAAATCTGTCCCTGAAGTGGAGAACTGATCCAAATAATGCCCGTAAATCAAGGACCAACAGATGAAGAGACGTATCAAGAGACAGCTTTAGGCATGGCATTTAGCTATTGAATATTAAATTTATATAAAGTATTCACACAACTGAAAAAACTCACCTATTTCTTGGGTAATTTCGAGTAAAAATCCTCGAGGAATTCTTTCAATATAAACTTGAACTTTTCCGCTTGCTTGGCCAGCTCCAATTTGTTTTCATCGCCTTCATTGTCGAGCATCTCATCAGCCTCGCTCAAGGTCTGAAGGTAGTGCAGCCAAGCGGACTCCAAGCCAAGCACCTGCTCATGCGTCTTCTCGGCCAGATTCACTTGGTACTTGTGGAGCAGTACAAAGAGCTCCAGCATGGGTGTAAAGGTCGCCTGTTTGAGGGGCAGCTCTTGGATCAAACGCTCGAAGAGCTGTTTGGCAGCCACCGTTTCGCGAATGGTGCGCGGTACCTTCAATACATTCCTCTCATTCCGTCGCATATAGCGATAGGTGCCTGCAAAAGAAGAGGAGATTGAATCACTCTAATTGAGAGAAATGCTAGTGTGTGGTCCCACCTCGCATCCAATTGGTGGCATGATCCAACAGCATTTTAATATTCAATGCCTGCCATTTCTCTATCCAATCCAATATAGTGCTTTTCAGGGCATTCTGATTGATTAATATGAAATAAACATTCGTGATGGCATCCACAAAGGACACATCATCGGCCAGGGCACTATAATGTTCGATGCCACCTTCAAACACTCCCGCTGTCCGGGCGCTTTTCATCAGCCGTTCGGTGAACTGTTCTTCTGTGGTTTCCCACAGCATGCGATGGTGGTTCCACTGCTCTTGATAGCTTTCCATCTCCTGCCGCTGCTTGGATATTTCCGCTTGGATGCTGCGCATCAGCTCGGAGCACTCCTGATCCTCGCGAAACACTCCAGCGAATCCCTGACGCTGCGCGGTCTTGGGCAGCCTCAGCTTGTAGCCCAGTCTGGGGAACTGATCCAGCATGCAGCGGATATTGTCAATTACTCCACACAGAACGGTAGCAATTTCATCCATATCTGGGCTAAACACAATCCGACCATCCTTGACATCCGATTCCAGTACCAATATGGGGGCAGGGGCCATGTCCTCGTCGCGATGAAGGGCTTCGTAGAGCTTTGTCAATGAACTGCGAGCACTGGTCATTAAGGCGTTGGCCAGCATATCATCCAGACCGTTCACATAAAGAATCCACTCGGCAGACATCTAAAAGTTGTAAGTTTTGAGTTTTGGTTAATAGTACAACAAAATCAGGCTCAAATCACCTCATCTTTGACCAAATGGAACTGCCTGCTGAATGCGGAAAGCAACTCCAAAATATTATTGTAATAATTCCTCAGTGTATCGCCAGAACTCGCTAGCCAGCCGGATAGTTGCTGCTGCAGCACGGATATGTCCACGGCACCCATGAAATTAAACCGCAGCAGGGTGGTATCGCAAATCTTTTCGCAGCACCTGGCCACGCCCCGATTGGCTCGCTTATAGATGTGGACGATCTGCTGAAAGTCTTGAATAAACTCACCGCAATCTTCAAAGAACGATTGCTCGCTTAAATCGGCCCCGTAGGTGAACTTAAAGATGCCCGGAGCCAAGTGCCGATCGCAGGCCAGGACCAGCGGTCGAAATAGTTTCCGCTCTCGATCTGTAAGGCCCATCAGGATGCGGTTGTAGCTGAGACACAGTTGGGTGACGCTATTGTACACAGATCTCAGGCATTCGCAGCGCTCGTAGAACTTTTTGATGGTACTGGGTATGGGGAAACCCAACCGCTCAAAATGCTGTGCCTGCTCGCATATTTCGACGACAGCCGGATCTATGTTGCACTCCAGCAGACCTCTCGCCTGCTTGCTGCGTATTATCAGATAACGCTCGAGCCTCTGGTTGAGATCGGCTGACCAGCCACAGCATGCCGTTTGCCAATCCTCATAGGCCTGATGCGACTCTCTTTCGTACTCCTTGCGCAGCGAGTCGAATTTGGCCAGCGTGGCAGCAGCCTCCTTGACTGTCGGCAACCATTCGGCATTCTTCAATCGATTCCGCAGCCAGGTGAGGCGTTCCAGATTGATGCGGTAATTGAGGGCACGGGACACGTGATGGGAGAGCCAGGACTCTTGTTGCTGTCGACACTCCAGCAGCTTCCTCGAAGTGGCATCCATTTCCTGGGAGAACATGCGCCACAAGCGACTCACCTCCCGAAGGAAGGTCTTCCTCAGAGTGCCGCGATGGCGATAGGAGTAGAAAAGCAAGGCTTGCAGGCCTTCCAGGGCCTCCTCCACATTGCAGACATGCTGAAATACATTGAAGATCAGACGCTGGACTGTTTCCTCCAAGTGCTGGACATTGGTGCGATACATGGCCACCAGGTCATACCAGTCCTCGCGATGGACATTTAGGATGATGGACTGTGAGCCACTGCATCGTTGCAGCTTCTTGAGAGTCTGCAAAAATTTATTTTCCACATTGGCGGCAATCCTGTCCAGCTCCTCGCCCCTGGAGCCACCAAACTCCGCCCTGGGTATTGTCTCGTTCTCATCCAAACGGCCAAATACAATCATCGACTCACAAATGTCAATCACATCGTTGAGCCGCTCCACAAATGCATCCACATGGTTGAAGATGATCCCCTCGTCTAGCTGCCAACCCACTTGGCTGTGCTGGCTCGATATTTCCTCATAGATTCCCTTGTAAACCAGGCAGCAATCGATCGACATGTTGCAAATCTCGATGCCAAAGCGCGGCCGTCCCTCGAGTATCTCCTGCACTTTGGTCTGTTGCGTGCAGAACATTATAATCTGATTGCTGAGATTCCGAAAGAGACCGGTGATGAGCTCCCGCGTATTATAGTACTCCGAATTCAGCCAGATGTAGCGCACAAGATGGATTATTCTGGGCAGAAGTTTTGTAAGCTCTGCGGGGCTGTTGGACAGATCAATTTTGGAGCAGGGCTCGATCAGCAAATGGAGATACTTGATGTTGGACAATGACTGAACAAGCTCCATCTTGGCCGACGCTATTAGGTCATCCACTTGGGGCATGTGAACGGAGTTGGACTGTCGTAGAACACGGAAAACCTTGTCTACATCTGACTGGGCCAATTGTGCGTTGATTCCCTGCAGGACTTCATCTAGCAAGAGGGAGAAACAGAGACTAGATTATTTGAGGTGCATTTCTTGAAAGAATTGCTCTACCTACAACGATATTCCCAGAACTCAAACTCATCTCGCACTGTGACCAAATCGTGGGGCACCGTCAATGTGCAATCCCCCAGCAAAGTACGAATCTGAGTTGTCCAATAGAGAGCAATGCCTTCCAGGCTCTTAACCAGCTGCCTGTCCACCTTACCCACTCCAGCCGAACCTTCTTCGTCACCGCCTCCGAGCTGTTTGATCACATAGGGGACATAGAGCACGGCCATGCCACCAATCTGGTAATGCATTCCAGTGAGAAATCCCAGAAAGCGATCCATGCTCGAGCAAAAGCGCTGCCGGACAGTATCATTCCATTCGGGATAGTTCCGAAAGAAGGGCATATATAGCCACTCCAGGACATGCAGCAGGCAGCCATCCACATCGCTATGAACCGTTCCGAATTGGATCTCGTCGTGGAAGGCCTCCACACTGAAGATCTCGTTCGGTTCGCGACGAAAGTAGCTCATGTCGGTAATGTACGCGGTGGGAAAGCCCAGGCAGGCGGTAAGCGTGCTCCCATCATAGGAAACAGTCAGCAGGGGCTCGTTGACCTCCAACAGCCACCGGCGAATGGTGTCCATTGAGTTCTCATGCCAGTCCCGATGGTCCAAGCAGCTCAGCACACACATGCGTTGTATGAACTCCACCAACTGGTGCAACTCCTCGTCACTGTACACCGGTCGCGGTGTCTCAACACGCTGCTCCTCCTGGCGCTGCTCCACGTTGCGCTCTAAATGTGTGGTTTCAGACTAGACCTCTCAATAACAGTTGTCCCAACTCACCCTCATCATCGCTTAAATCGGAGTCTGTAAGGTGCTCATCTTCTACAGCGCTAGAGGACGTCATTTTCGCGAAAACTATGGGTTTTTATGCAAAATAAACAAAGAAAATCAGCCATGGCAACACAAAATGCGTAACCGTTACTTGGGGGTTGCAGCATATTCCAATAACTTTGGCGCTAAAATAGCCATCTTGGGAAAAATACCGAATGCGGTATATTTCATTGGCAGTATTTGTCACACGGCCACACTTGTTCACACTGATCGCCAGATTTGTTTTGGCGTCCCTTTTTAATTTTTTAAATTTAATTTAAGCAAATATGGCCAAAAACCCGACAATAACCGACGAGATGGAAATGGTGATCCAGCAAGGAAACACCCTGCTGCCGGATCTGCACATACGCCCCAGCGACCTCGCCAACCCGACAGAGGCTTTCCTCACCAAAGTCTATGTTCACTATTTGCGCTGCTTTGGACTTCGTGTGGACCCACCATTCAATGTTGACAACGAGAGCACTGATACGTCGCGGGAGAAGCGCGTCTTCCTGATCAAGCTGTGCCGCCAAGTGGAGCGGATAGTGCAAGTCACTTTTCCCAACAAGACGTACACATACCTGGACATTATCAGGCCAGGTAATCACGAGGCTGTGCATCAAACAACAGTTCTCTCTATCTACGTTTCGGTCTTTTAGCTCCAAAGAAGACAATCAAAACACTAGATCCCCTGTTCAACTACTTGGCCTACTACAAAATGTTTAAGAGGTCGGTTCTGATGCCCGTCGAGGAGAGTATTAAAACGCGGGAAGCCCTCATCGCTGAAATCACATCCAAGCGCTGTCAGTTGGAGAATCGAAAAGAGAAAGCAGCCACTGTTAAAACAGATATTGAAAACTGCCAAGCCTCCATAAACGAGTTGCACGAGGAGCTGCCCAGGGCTCAAGCCGAGGTGGCCAAAGATAACAAGACATGTGCCGAACAGAGATTAGAAATGGATTCGCTGGAGAACCAGCATACAGAGCTCACCAATCAGATCCGCCACTGGGAGCAGCTGGTCGTGGAGGATGACGAGGTGCTGACTCTAAAGAAGTAAGTTCTTAACCATATCAAAAGCTGAAGTCAATCTCTTTATGCAACAACCCTTGCAGGCAAATCGAAGACATTTCACAAGATATAGAGAATTGCAAGGATGAGTTGGCCGGCCAGGAAAAAGTCTTCAACGATCAACGCCATCAAATAGAAACCAATCTGAATATGGTCAATGAGATAGAGAAGGCCTTGGAAGTGCTGCCGTCCAATTGTTTGGACGAGTACAAGGAGAACCTCAAGCAGCAGGAGCTCGTAGAGAAGCAGCTGTCAGCCCTGGAGGCCCAGAATCAGAAGATCCTCAACGAAATTGAGACCAACAACGTGGAGCTCCAGCAGTCCGCCGAGCAGTTCCAAATATGCAAGCACAAGTACGATGAGGAGTGCCAAAAGCTCCAGCAGCAAATCGATGCGCGAAAGACCGCCTTTGAGGAGCAGAAAAAAACTGAGGAAGAGCGAACCAAGAACATGGAAGCATTGCAGAGACAATTACAAGAACAAGAACTAATGGGCAAAATGATTGAAGAGATGTTTCTGGAACTTGGCAAAAACGGAAAATCCACTTAATATATTGATTTTATTCTAAATTTAACCGATTTGCTCGTTTTGATGGTTAGGTACGAACGCGGGAAAAGGGTTGGCTGGATGGACTATGTTTCCATTTTCTTGCTCTCCAGATGCGCCTTCAGCTGCTGGCTGAAGTCATCCTCCACGTTATCATCGTCCCAGTTGTCCTCCCACACGTTGAGCTCCTCCTCGTCGTCGCCGACACGGAAGTCTGCAATAACAATGTTTTTGCAATTGCTGCTCTGGAATGGAATGGAAGCCAAAAGCGGCGGTCTCACCTTCAGCCGGAAACTCTTCGAACTCGTCGTCTTCCTCGAGCAGACCCAAGTCCTCGCCCTTGTTGGTGGCCTCCTCCTTCTCTTTCTCCTTTTCCTTATCGGGTGCCGACATTTTCTCTTCTCTAGATATTTCTCTTTATTTCAAAATAAAATTTTCGATTTTTTTTTTCGATGCTGTTTTGATGCCGAGTCACTGGCAGTGTGACCGCGGATATTTCGATAGCATATACGGTCCGACCCTCAAAAATATACCGAAACATACATTCTTACTTTGAAAATATACCGTAAATATACTGACGACCTCAAGTTGTATTATACATATTCCTCAATTTTGATTTTCCGTCGAATATTCCCAGCTATAAAGAACATTTAGCCATGCCCACATAGTTTTATACGATTGATGAATCAATTTCCTACTTGACTGGCTTAATTTAAATACTTGCTTTTATTGGATCGGTTGCTTTTTTTGGATTTGATTGTAAAATAAATTTAAGCAATTTCCACTAAATTAATATCCTTACATGGTAACTACACGCTAACTACAAATTGCTTACATAGTAACTACATGTCTATGTAATTACAAACATCGACTCGATAATTCGGTTATCGAAAAGATCAAAAACGAACTTACCGCCAAATAAAGTGCACTTCAAAAATACAAATTTTTTTTATGATTTTATTGTTTTATAACATTCTGACTTGTGGCTATTTGACTTTCAAGCTAAAAGGGTTATTGAGCATTTGGATTTTAGACTACATATAATTTAAACTGTTCCTCGAGCAATGGCTGCTGTTGTTGTTGGCTATTTTAAAACAATTAGAGCGAAAAATTGATGTTACTTTAACATTTATAAATATATATGTATGTATACGTTTATATATGTATGTTTCTATATTGTGGTTGTTCCGGTTTGCTGCATTGTTTGATTTGTTGCATAGCGAACTTTCGTTATCGGGATTTTGTGCTGGCCAAAATGTAAAGAAAATCAAAAACCATTTCTCCTCTCATCTGATCTGACATTTCCATCACTTAAAGTTACAAATTTTGTATGCCAAAATATATAGTATATATAGTATAGTATATAATCCTTTGTATCGTCTTGTTTGTTTGTTTAAGTATCTAGTTTTACATTAATATAACTGGTAGTTCAACATTTAACATTTAGTTTTGCTGCGCATCTGCATCTACATAATTAAATAGTTTTCATTATTTTTACTTTTTGTTTTTTTGATTTTGTGTAATGTGTTGTTTGTTGTACAATATACTCGTATATGAGGAATAAAACACCATACATTGATTAGTTATATTGTTGTTCAGTTTTTGTGTGTTCGGGCTGGCCATCTCTCACTTTTCTCTCTCTCTCACGCTGTCTCTAAACATTATTATTCATCACAGATGCTCTACGCACAAATCAAATCAAAATCGAATTGAATGCAATTATTATCATCATTTAACAATTTGTTACAAGCTCCAATTTGTGAATTACATTTTGACATGCTTCATAATTGCGTTTGCTAATTGGGCGATTGGGAGGGTAGGGTGAGGGGTTTGGTGGTTGGGGGGGAGGCTGAAGAAGTACAGGGATATTATATATCTATAGACGGGATATGAGTATATCCCTAAAACAAGTGCGCCTGGACAGCAGGACTGTTGTGTGTGTGTCTGTCTGTGTTTCAAGTGGGGTGGGGGAGTGTGATTTAGGTATATTCTATGTAGTAGTAGGTTTATAAGATATAATATGAAAGCTTTTCTAGAAAAAGTGTTGTATCACATATAGAGAGGAAGTGTTAAATATGTATTATTTCTTTCGGTTTTCTATTCCGGTCATCTTTCTGTTTCTTGTGTGTAACAAAGTTTTGAACAAAAAAAAAAAAACTTATATGTGTATGTTCCATCCTTATATAGTACAGTACAGGGCGTGGGGGGAGGGATATACATAGTACATTTGTAGAGTGAAAAATCAAACAGCTTAGCCTCAATAAAATGCATTCAAGTAAATACATAAATATATATTGTTTCTGTTTTCTGTTTCTCGTTTTCAAAGTAGAGCACCAATAAAGTTACGCTTAAACAATCAATAAAACATACAAATCTGCAGGAAGTGGGGGATACGAGAGATAGATAGCAATAAATACAAAGAGTAAAAGTATAACAGCTAAAAATACATTATAAATACTTAGCATAGCTTATATCGTTTCAAGTGCTTGCTTCATTTTGTGTGTGTCTATGTGTGGATCGTCTGTTAATGGATCTGTCTGGATCGGTCTATAGGGTTTAATCCTTTTACAATTTTGTTTGTTGCCTTTAAGTTTTTTAGTTTTTTTTTATATTGCTTTTAAAACGCTAGGCGTTCTCTAACGGATTTCTTTTGCGCTTACGAACTACATAAATACACATCGAACATCAAAAATATGACATACAGGCATACATCCTATGTACATATGTATGCTATGTATATACTCGAATATGGATAATAAAGGTTTTTTCTGCATTACATAGATACAGGACAACAAAGTTTACTCGCGACGCGTTCTCTTCGGCCGCGAGGCGGCTATTGAATCCCCGCCTGGCGATGAGGCCCCGAGAGAGGCCCCTCCTGCAGATCCACTGCCTCCAGATCCAGATCCACCCCCGACACCACCCTCTGTGGACGACGATGATGATGCAACCGTGATGGTGGCAGATATGGTCGCCGCCGACTGCTTCTCGGCCACGCCCCGCACCTTCCGCGAGGCCACCGACTGGGCCGTGACCTGCAGCGATATGGCGTGCGTATTGAGCTTCTCGGCCAGCAGCAGATCCTTGAGGCCCTTCATCTTTTGGCTGTACAGCGCAATCACCGGACGTTTAAGCATTATCTCAAAGGGATCATAGTCATCGGGTGCAGTCGCCTCTGGCTCTGGCTTAGCTTCTTTGTGCTGTGGTTGTTGAATTTGGATTTGGGTTTGGGTTTGGCCAGCATGATGGCTTGCCTCACTAGTAACTGGTAACTGGATGGCAACGGAGTGGCAGTGACTGCTGCTGCTGCTTGTACTGCCTCCATTGCTAGTGGTTACTGATGCTGTGGTTGTTGTTGTTGCTGTTGCTGCAGTTGTAGTTTTTGTAGCCTCCTTCTCAGCATTATGGTGATTGTTGTTATTGCTATTGCTATTGTTGTTGTTGTTATGGGGCTCTGTGTTCTCCGTGTCCCCCAATGATGTCTGCTGCTTTTGCTCGGCAAAAGGCTGACCCCCGCCCTGAAGCAGAAAGTCCGGATTGAGTATCTTCTCGCCACAGGCGGCGGTCAGATCAGCCAATGTCGTCGGCAGCTCTGAAGATTTTGTCTTCTATTCGAGAGGAAAAAAGAAAAGTGATTAGAAAAGAGTTTTTTGGAAGCCAAGAAGACTTTGAGTGGTATATACTTGTAGCTGTCTTAATTTTATATTCGATGCATAATTAAATCTCTGGAATGTACATATAATCTCTGACTCACCTCGTCCTTCTTCATCAAGGTGTTGTTATTTCCTTCTAGAGCCTCTGCTCCGGCCGCCATCATTGCCGCAGCCGCTGCTGCTGCCGCGGCTGCCGCCGCTTCCTTAGCCTCCAATGCGGCCGCTTGTGCCTGCTCAGCCTCCAGATCCTCGGGCATCTTGATGACCACCTGAGAGCGTATATCGTAATCAAATTTGGTTATATTATTGACCAGTGGCTTGGCCCAGCCAATGTGCAGAATGGGAGTCAGGCTGTCCTCCTCCCACTGGCAGATGCCATCGTAGAAGCGCAGCAGATTGGCAAAGACCTCAGCATCCCGCAGAATGCTGCGTGCCGAATGGCCTGAGCTCTCCGTTTTCATCACATAGGGGATCAGCTCGTTGGCAATGTCCAGCAGCTCCTTGTAGATCTCTTCGTCGTCGCGGCACTGGTACGTGTACAGGCGGATCACGTCGGCGGCATTGGCCCAGGCGGCGAAGGCGTCGCGATACTTGAGCAGACGGTTGTAGTAGTTGCCCTGATACGTGTACGGATAGACATGGTGGTTGCGGTAGTGCGTCCGCGCCGAGTCGATAGCCTCGCGGTAGAGCTGCTCGCAGGTGATGCTGCTATGCGTCCGATGGATCTCCTCCAGTTCGCCGAGTGTACCCAAGGCCATGGGATACCGCTTGAGATGTCCCAGGTCGTAGAGGAGCCACAGCAATTGCTGCTGCAGATCGGCCACTTCCACGCAATCGCTGTTGGCTGTCAGAGAGATGTTGAGAGCGGCACAGATGGCCGCCACCTCCATGCCACGCTCGCAGACCACCGCCAGGCCACCGAGATAGAGCCAAGAGCCCGACTCGATCCCAGGGCGTATATCCTGGCCCCGCTTGTCCTCGCTGCCCTTGCCGTGCCACGTCACCTCGATGGTCTCCACCCGTTTCTGCCCAAACACCACCCAGGCATGGTCCTCGGAGATGGCCAAGCGCACATCCTTGTAACCCAGCAGTTGACAGCCGGCTACCACGGCAAGTGCCACACCGAAACAGTCCAGCTTGTTGCCCGACAGATAGCTGTAGAGGTTCTGCAAGTGGGCCCGATCCTTGTAGCTGCTGCGGATCAGCGAGTTCCATATAACGTCCGACACCTTCTTGATGATCTCGCGCGTGGCCTGTCGGTGTGGCTTTGGCTTCTCCACCACCGATAGGATTGTCTGGAACTTCTTGTACAGGCCCGCAATCAGCTCGTGGGTCACCACCGGGAAGGGAACGCTGTTGCCCATGATCACGTCGCTACCGCCTGTCAGTGAGTATATCGATTAACTAAGTTTTCTTGACCATACAATAGGTACAACGGAAACCACTTAAAACAGAACCCTTGAGAGTGTAATGACAGTGCGTTTCATCATTTAAAGACTGATCTAGTATAGGTTTCATCAAAATTTCATCCTCCCGAATTCCCGAATATTACAGAAAAGAATCATCGATAAATATACTTCTGCGAAAACCCTACACTTCTGAACCGCACTGTCTTACTTAGAACGCTCCTTCGACTGAGCTGAGGGTTAAACTACCGTTTTAATTGGTTTCCGTTGCTTCTGCTGTTTCACCCGCTAACGGTACAGGGGTACGCACCTGTCGCTGTCTGCGTCATGTCAGCTGCTGCAGCAGCGGCGGCGGCAGCGGCTGCGGCGGCCGCCTGAGACGCCGCCTCTCCCGTGGTCAGCGAGAGCTCGATATACCCCACCACAATGGAGAGCAGGGTCAGATCGGGCTCAATACCGGTGGTGAGGGAACGACGGAACAAATTCACTACGTCCGCGGTGGACCTCAGCGGAAAGAGACTGGCGTCGATGATGCCATTGAGAGCCATGGGGCTGGCGCTGGCGCTCCGCGTGACCGTTGACATGGTGCGGCCGAGGGGGTGGGCGGGAGCTGTTGCTGCGCGTGGGTGTTACCAAAGGGGGAGCGGAGCGAGTGCGAGTAAGCCTGTTGCCTGTTTCGATCTAGCCGCAGGCGTTGCTGCCTTTGAAATGACTCGAGGATCGGGAATCGGCGACGGTTTCGGTTTCGGTATCGGATTGGGATTCCACTTGGTAGCTGTACAGCCAGCCAGCAGCCACTCGTTGTGGCTGCCACATTTGAGCGACCAACAAGTTGACAAACAACTTTTTTACTTTTCCACCTTGTGTCGTCGTGTCCGTGGGCCCTTTTTCTTGTACTTTTTCTCTCGGGTTGTTTTTTTTTTGTGCTTTTTTGTTAGTGTTTGCCTGTGTTTGCTCCTTTTCCGTAAGTGTGTGTGTGTGTGATTGTGCACTTTATTCCTGGCCTCTCTTCGCTCTTCTTCAGGTGTTTGCACTCCTTGTCTCTCTCTTTCTCTCTCTCTCTGCTCTCTTCTTGTGTGCAGTTATGCCTTACCTTCTCCTCCTGGTATGCACTTATTCTTAACTTTTCTTAGCTCCTCTCCAGATATGCACCTTTATACCATGCTTCTGTTCTTGCTTCTCTCCTCTTCCTCTTCTGCTGTGCAGTTATTCTGGAAGCAGGATTTTCGCTCACTTTATGCACTTATTGGCAACAACAACTGGTTTGCTGCGTTGCATACTCCTGTATATGTGTGTTTTTGTGTGCGTGTGTGTGCACTGGAAAATATGTGTATATCCTGTCGTCGTCGCTTGACTGCTGGCTGTCCTTCGTTTTGCAGCCCACGTCATCAGAAATCGGCTTTTGGGCAGGTTGTCGCGCTTGACATGCGTTTCGTTTGCTTTGACCTGCTCTTGTCTCCTCCTCCTCCTCCTCCACCACACACTTCTTTTTATTTTATTTTTTTTTGTTGGTTAATGCTCTGCACCGCCGCCACCCCCGCCCACTAGTAATTTACACTTGACACGCAGTTCCTCAATTAGCAAGAAATATATATGAATCCTGCATGAAATCATTGAACATTTGCTTAACTATTAAAACACACTTGATTTGCCGCCAATTCGTTTCGATTTTATTGCTTATTTTGTTCGAGTGCGTAAATAAAAATTCCGTTTATTGCGTTGTGTTTACCTTTTTGCAGCAGAGTGTGTGCACACCCGACACGTGCCGAAAATTCCAACGATAGTGCTGCAAAGGGGCCGAAACTCAGCTAATGCTGGTATTTTTACTATGGGTATTTTCCAGTTGCGTTAGTGCCTTTATGGTATATCGGTATATAATGGTATATTTTGTCAATTTCTCTAATCTATTAAATTTTATTTTTAACTTTATAAAGGAATCCAATAAAAGCGAGTGTTAAAATTAAACCAGCCAAGTAGAAAAAAGATTCATTAATCGGATAAAATTCTGTGGGCATGGCTGAAAGTTCTATATAGCTGAGAAAATTCAACGGAAGATCAAAATCGAGAAATATGTATAATTCGTCGGTATATTTTTGAAAAGAGACGGCATTTTTAATATATTTTTGAGGGTTGGACCGGACGGTATGTTTCAACGATAAATCCGCGGTCACTCTGATCTTTTGTAAACAAAAGCTAAAAACAAAATAAAACAATGCCGGTTTTTGCCAATTACCACTGCAAAACAACTATAGACTGCCAACAGGGTGCAGTGCGTGCCGTGCGCTATAATGGTGAGTTGATATGATGAACAAAGGGCATACGTTTGATGTGATGATTCCAGTGGACGGCTCTTACTGCATGTCTTGCGGCTCTGACAAGAAGATCAAACTTTGGAATCCTGCCACTGGATTACTCCTAAAGACCTATGGAGGCCATGCCGACGAGGTAACAGATGTGGCTGGCAGCTGCGATAGCAGCTACATTGTCTCTTCCAGCTTGGATAAGAGCATAATCTACTGGGATGTTTCCACAGGTACGAGTTTTCATGTAAATTTTCATCAGAAATGCACTCAACTCCACAGATTTTCGCCTTTAGGAACACCTGTTCGCCGTCTGCGCTCCCATGCTGGTGGCGTCCGTTGCGTCTGCTTCAATGAGGACTCTTCCATAACCATTTCTGGTGGTCGCGACAATGCCGTCATGTGCTGGGACATACGCACCCGCCGCCTAGATCCCGTCCAGGTCATGAAGGACGCCCGCGATTGCATCACCACCGTTCTGACCAATGAAAATAAGATCTATGCCGCCTCGCTGGACGGCTGCATCCGACATTACGATATACGTGTGGGAGAGATGACCTGCGACAAGATCGGGGAACCCGTCACCTACTTGGCCAAAACACAGGACGAGCAGTGCCTTGTCGCAGGCTGTCAGGACAGTGTGGTGCGTCTGATCGACTGTGAGACGGGAGGACTGCTGTCCGAATATAAAGGACACCGGGCGGATGACTATCACATAGAATGCGGCATCCTGGCCAATGATGCGCACATTGTGGCCGGCTCCAGCGCCGGGGATGCCTACATCTGGGATCTGCTGGAGGGAAAAGTCTTGCAGAGGATACGCATAAGTAAGGAAGAAATGTGTATTTCATGTATTTCTACAGACGTGTAGATTGATGGGTCTCTGTGGTCTGTCTGTCCTTTTTCATCCAGCGTACATATCTTGTACTCTCGGCTGCATATAGGATTCTACTTACCATAGGATATATCAGTTTTGTAAAAACAACTTCGTTGAACAACTTGGTATAATTAAGGAATCCAATCCAACAATTTCAAAATCTTAACCAAATTTGATCGAAATATCTCATGATATCAAAATAACTACATCTATCTATGACTAAGAAAACTATCTATCCCATCTTTGGGCTGAGCATCCTTCATGAAATTCATTGTAAATATTTTTATTTCAGGTGACAATGGTGGAGTGGTACACTCCCTGGCCACGCATCCCAGGCGTTCAGAGGAGCTGCTGTTCGCCAGACGGCGGGACATGTACGTCTTCACCACAGACCTGCAGATCGAGGAAGAGCAATTGTAGAGAAGATATGAGGGATTCCATTAGCAAATCAAGAAAAAACCTTTATCGCCTCAAGCGACTCGTCTCTATGTTTTTGTCGATATTTAAACCCAATTTTGGGGGAGAAATTTCAGGGTGAATAAGATCCCTGTTCAAGACTAACCCCATTTAGAGATCAATTGAGACCACTTGTAGTGGGAGTACGATCGCTCTTTGTGTGCAAGACCATTAACAGATCATTAACATTAAAGATCATTAGTAGTCTCCAACGGCTCGCGCACACTACAGCTGAAAGTGAAGCTGAAGTTTTCAGCAAGTTGTGCAAGCTTTCAGCTCTTCTTTTAGCTAGTCTGTGCGAGTCCTTACAGTTTAAAGTCCATGCTTGTGATAGTCAATAAAGAAAAAATATATATAACTCCAGAGTTTTGTTTGAGGGAAAAAGGAAAAACCATTTATTTGACATAATCGTTTGTATTTTTTTTAGTTTTTTTTTGTAGTTTTCTGTTTTTATAGAGCATGAATGTATGTAGTAATATGTTGTATGTATGATCTGGCTTATATACTCGTATGCTTCAATGTATTTTTCGTTTTCTTGATTTTTGTTTAACGGTAAACGACCTGCATATTGTTTCCTTACGACATCCATCCGTCATATCCTATCCCGAATGCCAGACACCTGTGCGAGCGGTATGACCATGTATACGTATGCGTTGTGTGTGTGTGTGTCTGCCTCTCTGTCCGCAGCTCTCTCTTCGATCATTCTCATACTCTCTCTCCTTGTGAGGGGAAGGGGGGGATGCGCGGGATGCCAGGCCGCCAGCGGAGGCTGGGCGCTATCTCGGACACTTGGTGTCGTAGCTAGCTGGCAGCTACCAGAGGGCGCGCGTGCTCGCAGCCTCGCAGCGGCTTAGCCAAAGAGAGACGACAGCAGCAGGGTGTAGCAGCACACACGCACACACACCCATAGCGACATATCCTTCTCGCACAGCCGTGGGCATTCGCGTATGACGGGCCTAAGAGGGGTTTAAGGGTTCTCGAAAGGGGGTTTTGGCCCTTTTAACTCTGAACATTGTTGTACTTATGTACTAAAGCATATTAAATATGTATGCAAAGTATTTATTTATTCTTTTATGTATAGGTAGTGTATATATATACTCGTATATATGTATGTTTGTTTCTGTGTATTTTTTGTTTTTGTTTTAGTATTAATTTTATGTAATGTTCCGTTACTTATGTAGGTATGTATTATTTATATATGTTTATGGTATATGTTTATATGTATATAATTTATATTTATATAATGTAAGTTTATATAATAAACGATTTTCACTTTTTTTTTTAGTTTTCTCTTTCGTTTTCTGTTTCTTTTTTTCTTACTTTCGTTATTAAAGGGTTTTTTTTTAATTTTAGGCTTAATCATTCGCTCTAACGATCGCTCTCTCTTTCTAATAAGACTTAAATTTTTTACACAAATATATCAACAAAAACTCAATAAGTTCCATTCAAAAAACATTATGAATCCGTAAATAAGGTAATGTTTAAATTAAGTAATAATACGAAAAAATAATTTAAAGAAAGGTAAAATTAATGCGATGGTTTTTATAGAGTTCAACACTGTTGTTAAGCATGTGTTTTACATACATATATTTATATATATACGGTTATCCTATATACATACACCTTATCGATATATAGTATGCATGTATATTATATACTTTATGTTATTTTTAATGTGGTTTTTTACTTAGTTTTTTTTCCCCATTGGATGATTTTACAATTTTTGCTTTTGTTTTCTCTCTCTCAAAACTTTCTTTATATCCTTTTCTTCGTTCCTCCTCCTTTCTATTTTTGCTATTTATTGTTTCTCCTGTGTTTTTGAGTTTCTCTTTTTTATTAATAAATAATAAAAAAACATTCAATAATTTGTATGTCTATTTTTGTTGTTGTTTGTTTTGTACTTTTGTTTGTTTCGTTATTCTGTTTTGTTGCTTCTGTTTTTGTTTTGTAAATTAATATTCTTCCTTTCTGTTTTAGCCGTTATCTGCTCCTCGTTCTCTTTCTTCTTCTTTTATCCTTATCTTAAGTTAACAATGGGCTTGTATTCTTCCTAATTTTTCCGATTAATTACTGTGGCTTTGTTTTCGCTTTTGTTTTATGGAAAGTTTTGTTTTTTTTTTGTTTGTTTTGAAGAAAAGAATATTTTGAAAATCCAAAAATACAAAAATTGTTTCAGTTGTAGTTTTTTCCGTTTCCAGTTTTTCGTTTTGTTTTATTTACTAATTTTTTACATGTGTTTTCTGCCTGTGGTGGTGCCTCCTCCTCCTCCTCTGTTACGTAGAGGGTCTTTCAGCGGCGTAGCATTTGCATTTCTGTTACCGTTAGCGCTTAGATTACCGTTACTGTTACTGTTACTACCGTTACGTGGAGGAGGCCTACCGACGACTGTTACTGCATGTCTCTGCTTGTTGAAATTAGTTGTTGCTGCTGCTGCTGATGCTGCTGTTGCTGTTGTTGTGGAAGCCACCGTTCGAGCGCCTTTAATACTAGCTCGTGCTGGTCCTGATCGGGCGCTGGTCTTGGTCGCGTCATTGGGCAATCAGGATGATGGCAGCTGCTTGGCCACAATCACTCCCGGGCGACACTGCTTCAGGGCCGTGGTGATCGTCAGCTGCTGGGGCGTGCCGCTGCCACTGCTGCCGGTGACAATTGTGGCAGCTCCTTGGTGGCTGAGACCCATCCCCGCACTTCCGCTGCTCTGCACCTTGAAGATGGCGGTGGGTGTCACGCTGCTACCGGTGGTGATCATACCGCCTCCATCCTTGGCCGTCTTGGCCGTAATGATGACCTTGTTGTTGCCCTTGATCTGAAGAAAGGGCCGCAGCTCCGCCAGCGCCGCATGCTGTTTGCCGGTGGTGAGGGCGAGTGGCGCATCCTGGGCCAGCCTGTGATGATGATGCTGCTGATGGTTGACCCCCACAACGCCCGAGTGGTGCGTGCTGGTGGTCACGATCTGGTGGTGATGATGCTGCTGGCTGTACTGCTTGTGCTCCGAGCCGTTGTTGCCGTCGGAGAAGAGATGATCGCCCTCCAGGTGTCGGATGGCCTCCACAATAGTCTCCAGATTCTGGCGGTAGTGCACCGTCGGCACCGGCTGGTCGAGCTTTTCCGTCTTCACCTTGACGATCTTCTCGTGGATGCGCTCCACCTCCACCTTGGGCGTGGCCTTGATGGCCGCCTGTAGGATCGGCTGCAGCATGGCCGCACTGGGCGTACAGCCCTCGGCATAGGCTTTGGCAATGGCATTCACGTTCACCTCGTTCTCGGACTCCGTGGAGCTATTGGACGACAGTATGACCTCCTCGTGCACCTGATCCTCTGTGATGATCTCGGCAGCGGCGTCCGCCTCCAGCTCCTCAATGCTGGAGCACACCACCACCTGCTGTTGTCCTGTCATCTCATCGATCTCCACATACGAGACGGTGCCGCCCAGCTCTTCGAGATCCTCGCTGCGGACAAAGTTGTCCGTATGCTCGATGACCTCACGTGGAATGTAGGTGCCGCCGACGTTTCCTCCGCTGACCGCCGCCACCGCTGTGCCGGGTGGTGCCGTGGCCACGCTGTACAGCTGTCGCTTGATCATCTGCAACTCGTCCTCCAGCAGTCGGCGCAGGCTACGCTCCTTCTCCAGCTGTTTCTTCATATCGAGCAGTTCCTTGGCCGCAATAATGCTGGCGTTGTTCAATTTGGTGGTGACCGCCGCTCCGCCCGCCGACAGCAATGTCATCGGCTCTGGGGACATGGAGCCCAGGCCTTCGTCCGAGCTGTCGCTAATGGCTTGAATGCTGATGACGTTATCCGTGAGCTTGCGCTTCTTGATGGCCACCGCCGTTATGTTGCTGCTGGATTCGTAGTTGCCGCCGCTCGCAGCACTGCCGCCGCTCTCGCCCGAACCGCCGCCTGCCTCATGCTCGCCCACCTGTCGCTTCAGTTCGCTGTTCTGTGTGAGGAGCTGTGTCTTTCCGTTCTCCAGATCGACAATGTATTGGAAGGTCTGTTGTAGGATGGCAGCCTGTAAAGAACACAAGGAGAACATGGTTGAAAGTTGTTCAAAATAGTTTAAGTATTTAATGTTTTTAGTGGAAATTGAAGTCAAACGGTTCCGCCAAAGGGTAATAAAAAAGGATTCTATCATAGAACAAAACTCCTAAATCGATCATTCATTCATCCAACGACCCAGAAAAGATTATGTAAGGATTGTATGAGTGTTAAACAATTACAATTTTTAATTGAATACACTTTTAGGTTAATGTCATATGGTGCATAATTAGTGATTTTCCAGGCCCTTCAATGCGCTCTCTCTCTTTCGTTCCAGAGACAACGCAAATCATTCACAAGGCGAATACACATGACGCATACGCATACACATACACATACAAATCCCATGGGTAGAGAGCAAGAGACTTGAGTGAATGAAGGGAAGCAGCATAATTGCCGAGGGAGCGGCAGGGGCAGACTTAACTGCAACAACAACTTATGTACATAAAATGCCTTTGCTTTTGCATTTTTCCTTTGCTCTCGGCGTCCGTCTGTTTTTGTTTGTGTATTTTCCTCTGTGTTGCTGCCGTTTTTTGCCTTTCTTTTGTTTCTCTTCTGCTCTGCCTTTTTGGCCCTTTGCTCGTGTGGTAGTGTTTATAGTAAACACTGTAGTAAAGCTTCGTTCTCATGCTTTTGCTCTTCTGCCGATGCTTGGCGGTCGAGCGCCAAAGGTGAAGGAACTTGTGTCCTGTCCTTCAAAATGCGCGCGCTCGCCAGCATGTCCAACACTGGCCGAGTGGCCCGCCTAACTCGCAAATTTTATTGCGTAGGGGGGACGGGCTTGCCGTAGCGGCGCAAGAAAGCTTAGAAAGCTGCCTGCAGTCACTGCCTTTCTCTGCGCGTAGGCGAAATGTTGCAGCTGCCTGTGCTCAAAAAAAAGTAAATATAAAAGGAATTTCGTAGCCATTTAAAGATAACGCCAGCAATATTACGAGTACTAGGGGGCTGCACCAAATGCGTTTTACTGGTTCTATTTGAAAACTTAACATTTTGCAGCATAATTACTCCAACAAAATCTTGAAGGGAAATTCTTTTAGAATACAAATCATTTCTACATAGCATAGTCCTCAATCCTCGACCAAAAGTAAGGGATACGTCTTTTTCTGGGAATATTTTTCTCGTAAAAGCATTCTCTTTCTTACAGTCGGCAAGTCCTACAAGTGCTAACAGTTTACCCAAGTCAAGTTCCTCGAATCTCCTGATGATAAATTCCCAAGATTGCCAGCCACCCCCACACACGAGAATGTGTGCACACCAAAACCATACAGATTCATGTGCATACTACATACGAGAGTATGAG